AAATAAATAAAGTTTAAAGTTAAAAAAAAAGGTAAAACGAAATACGTACCAATAGAGTGGGCGTGATATATATATATATATATATATATATATATAACCCTGATGCTCATTCATGAAACTAGGAGTGGGATTTGGATTGCAGTGTGTTGTAGTAGTCAGGCATCTTCATGCGGCGGTGCAGCAGCTGACGAAGGTATATGACTATATAGTCTTATGTTCAAGTAACTATATACTCCTGTCGTTCAGGGGACTATATAGTCCTATCGTTCAAGTAACTATATACTCCTGTCGTTCAGGGGACTAAATAGTCCTATCGTTCGAGTAAGTATATACTCCTGTCGTTCAGGTGACTATATAGTCCAATCGTCTTAGTAACTATATTCTTCTGTCGTTCAGGTGACTATATAGTCCTATCGTTCAAGTAACTATATACTCCTGTCGTTCAGGTGACTATATAGTCCTATTGTGCAGGTGCATCCGATTGGTGCAAGGTCCTGAGACCCATCCGCCGTAGAATCCCTCACGTAAGCACGTGCAATGTGCACACGGAGCGAACGGTACGTATTCATTACATCACTAAAATATAAAGTTCTGTATCTGTGTGTGGGTAAGCATGTGTAGGGACTAGCTTACCTCTGTCTCAGTCAAACACCGCTTCACCATTGAATACGTACACTCCAGGCGGTAGTTGAGATCACCAAACCATATCACATGGGATTGCGAGTACACACTCTCTCGCTTGCCCGAAGACCCAAACGTCAGGTAGTGACAGCAGCGCCTGTAGTCATCATTGCGTTTGTACGTTTTGTCCTGGTGGGCTGTGTGAGGAGACGGGGTGATGGGGAATGTGGATTTCGGAGAGTCTGTTGGTCATAAGTATATGTACATGCATGGGCACGTTCCCAATTCATCAGTCAAAGAGTGCGCAGGTCAGTAGGTGCGCATGTGAAGAACACACCCGGAAGGAGAGATCTGTCCACGCCTACAGACTGATTTGTACACATCTCATAATTTAGGTTCGTGTAGTTCAACTTGTGACTAGGACAGCTCATGAGGTACATAAAAGAATTGTATCTGAATATACCTATACATACATATGCGTGTACATCAACCCCGCACATGCACATCCATACATATCGCACTATTGAAACTTGAATTTATATATCATGTCTACATCCCTGTACATATGCATGGGTTTCACAAGGGATGTGAATTGTGGATAGACTGTACAGGATTATGTAAAGTAGTGCAATCCCCTATCTCCGTTTAAATAAGGGCGTACACTGCCCATAGGTAGCCACAAGGGCCTTAACAAAGACTTGTGCCACACCCACCTGCAAAGTGGGCTGTTACCAGTGTGAAAGATTGGCCGTTGACCAACTCGAATCTCGTGGCGATGCCACTCTTGTTTCCCTGTAGTATGGATGTCCATTTCCAGCGCAAAGGAAATAGAAGAAATGTTTGAGAATACAACGTTCAGATACATATAGATACCACAGCTGAGATCACGAGATGAAGGTGGTTGCTTCCACTAAGACAAGCATGATAACTAGTTGGAGGGGGTAGGTATACAATTGAGCTGCCCCTTGTTCCACAGGCGGTGTTGCATTGGAATGCTTGTACTGCTACTGCAAGTGATAACTTGCGAAGGGTGTGCGATATCAATCACAGGATAGAGACATCTGCCAAGGGGTGGGGCTTATCAACACATTCGTTCCGAATAGTGCAGTATCCGATGCACCGTCACCTATTCTGGGACGGAGGCCATACCAGTAGATTGTTGAAGCCAAGGGTCACTTGCTGGGTATTTGCCCGTCTAATCAGGGGCCTTATTTCTTTGCGCAGGAATACTATGAGGCCCGCCCAGCCGCAGCGATTCACAACTGCTCGCATATATCCATCACCTGCAAGTACAAATAAACTGCCATTTCACTAACAGGATTGTTTATAGCCATCACATGCCAGTATAAATAAAGCGTCATTTAACTAGAAGGATTGTTTACAAGTGCAGATAAAGTGCCATGTAACTAACAGGATTGTTAATAGCCATCACCTGCCGGTATAAATAAAGCGTCATTGAACTAGACGGATTGTTTACATCCATCACCTGCAAGTACAAATAAAATGCCATGTAACTAACAGGATTGTGTACAGCCATCACATGCCAGTAAAAATAAAACGTCATTTAACTAGAAGGATTGTTTACGTCCATCACCTGCAAGTACAAATAAAGTGCCATGTAACTAACAGGACTGTTTATAGCCATCACATGCCAGTATAATTATAGCGTCATTCAACTAGAAGGATTGTTTACATCCATCACCTGCAAGTACAGATAAAGTGCCGTGTATCTAACAGGATTGTTTCCGTCCAAGTGAACAGGCAACACATGGCTGATTCCCCTGTCGTGATCAATGAAGTAGCTGCGCATGTGTGTTCCACTCCCATGGATCGGAGAGTATCTTGAATAGTTTCAATTGGGATCAGCAATAACAAATTCACACTCGCCCATCCCAGGTAGTCCCTTGTCCGTCATACATACCTAAATGCAACTGTATCTTTCTAGTGCATACCCAAATGCAACTGTACCTTTCTAGTACATACCCAAATGCAACTGTATCTTTCTAGTGCATACCCAAATGCAACTGTATCTTTCTAGTACATACTCAAATGCAACTGTATCTTTCTAGTACATACTCAAATGCAACTATATCTTTCTAGTGCATACCCAAACGCAACTGTATCTTTCTAGTACATACTCAAATGCAACTGTATATTTCTAGTGCATACCCAAATGCAACTGTATCTTTCAAGTGTATACTCAAATGCAACTGTATCTTTCTAGTGCATAACCAAATGCAACTGTATCTTTCTAGTACATAACCAAATGCAACTGTATCTTTCTAGTGCATACTCAGATGCAACTGTATCTTTCTAGTGCATACCCAAAGGCAACTGTATCTTTCTAGTACATAACCAAATGCAACTGTATATTTCTAGTGCATACTCAAATGCAACTGTATCTTTCTAGTACATACCCAAAGGCAACTGTATCTTTCTAGTACATAACCAAATGCAACTGTATCTTTCTAGTGCATACCCAAATGTAACTGTATTTTTCTGGCCCAGTCTTGGCGTAGCACGCCCGTCGCATCATCGAAGTAGCTGGCTTCTATCAGATCACTCGATAACTCCTGGAGACTGGTGAGTAATTTAACACAATTAGTTGACTACAGGAAATAATATATCACACTTGCTTGAATAGAGGAATTAAAAGAACACACTTAGTTGATTATGGTAAGTAGTGCAAAACACTTAGTTGAATAGAGGTATTAATTTAACACAATTAGTTAAGAAGCCGAACTAAGGTAACGCAGTTGGTCATATGAATAAATTCAAAATACTTGATTATATAGCCAAATTAAGATATGACGCTTGGTTTGATTATAGTATTCAATTTAACACACTTAAATTCAATCATAGCAATTAATTTAACGCACTTAGTTAATCAGACGAATAAAGATAACACACTTATTACAAAAGATCGATTTTGTGAGATTCAAATGCTTGATCATGTTGATTGGTATACCACGCAGCACTGTTGAGCACTCTTAATCGCACGTGCAGGTATATTGCCTATGCGAACACGTGCATAATAACAGGAAAATACAAGTATAATAACAAGAAACATACAAGTATAATAACAAGAAAATACATGTATAATAACAAGAAACATACACATGATAACAAAAAACATTCAAATATAATGACGGGAAACATACAATTATAATAACAGAAAACACACAAATATAATAACCCAAATATACAAGTACAATAACAAGAAACATACACATATGACAACAAGAAACCTACAAGTACAATAACAAGTAGTATGCAAGTACAATAACAGGAAATATGCATGTGTAGTAACATGATACATTCAAGTAGAATAACAAGAAAAATGAATATGAACCAATGGTAGCTGTGACATAAAATGCAGTGTGCATGAAGTATATATGCAAGCATCTGCGTGTACACGAGTGTGTGGAAGTCTGAACTAACTCGTCAATGAGACCACTCGAGAAATCCAAACAGAGCTTTAACCCAAATGGATAGATAAAAACCCAAACGCAAACTTCAACCAAATACAATGTAAATCTATTTATATCTGTGTACCCCCATATGTTTCGCAATGACTGGAAGACAATTTGACATCTGAAACATGCCAGAGCAGGAGTATGGCTTGATATTACACTACACAAGTACGTAAGGACTGCATTGTATACAACAATCGAAGAAGATGCACCGGAGTATGTTGCTCGACAAGATGATTGAAATGATTTGCTTACTACAGAGAGATTCATCCCTGGGCCATGATATAGGCCGAAGCGACTGCTGTGGTTCAACACTGATTTTGAGAAGTGATGTACGTAAATAGATTGAACGCTTATAAACGCTCTCCTTAGCGCAGATGATGGAGACAGATGAACAGAATAATAATACATCTCAACAAAATGGGTCGAAGAATGTATACCACTGACAAACGTGACATCAATGCTTACGACCAAGCGTATATACCACAACGAGACTGCAAACAACAACTCTTCAGATGTTTTTTTCTAACGCGAGAGTGCGAGGTTAACAGTTTTATAAAGAAACAAACTATATGGGAATACATTCGTCGGTTGTCTGCCATTGTTATTGCACCCCCATGGTTGTTATTTTACGCTATAGCACAATTAATACGAACGACAGCCATTTTGTGGATGTCGACATATAACGGCGATGTCCACTTAAGCGGGAGCATTTATGTGTATGCATAGCTATAAACACGTATAGTATAAATTGATAACACTAACCCGAAAGCAAGCACATCTGGCCGAGGACCTTTGTCGGTCCTGAGCAAATCGTCAAGAGGTGGCACAGTACGGAGTGCATTTATATTCCATGTGACCACGCGAATATTCAATTCCTCCAACATTATAAAAGTGATCTGTATTATGGCTTACACTGCAGTATGGTATACGGTGTGTTTAATATGACATACGCTGTTCACAGCTGTAAAGTCAATGTCTGAGCGCTCGGCTCCGAGATTGAACTGAATATCCTTATCAATTTGCTGATCAAAATATTTACAATTTTACATACGTCTCATGTAAATAACCCCCGAGTCAAAGTTCGCAACCCAACCCACCAGTGAACCTTTTTCGAATGAAAACGCCCAAAACAAAATGATGACCACAGATAGGCCCAAATATGTATGTATAAATAAACAGATACCATATGTCTCCTAAATCCAACACTTACGTAATTGCATGAGGTTCACATATATTTATTCCTCAATATTTACGTCCTTCGGACGTTAGTTCGACTTACTATTTTATTCTTTCTACTTTTCTAGAGAGAGGGCCATGTCAATATTAAATATTTACCTGCGACTTGGGAATCGGGAGACGCGACAATGCCAATGCTATCTTTATTACTTCTTATTTAACCTCATCTATTTCTTGCCCTCTCAGTATGTATTTGACATTTCAGTGGTAACTACTCGCCAATGCTGAAAGCACTCGTTGGTGTACTTTCAAAGTCATATTTTTAATAATATGTACAAGTCTGATAAGCGAATACATTGTGCATGTAGATTGACTATAAGTTGTAACTGTTGATTAAGCTGTCGGCGTATTGCTCAGCTATAATTCCCACAGAGTGCGCTGCAATTACCGCATGTAAATTTAGCAATTAAATTTTTAGTTTGAATACACATACGTATCATCGAAAATTCTACAACCGTATACTATATAAATCATCAAGAAAACAGTATATTGACTGTGTTCTCGAAGACTAGAATGCCATGTCTAACATAATGGCGGACAGTATTATGTAACTCGCATTACAGTTTTAGATAAATTCTGGGATCTTCCGCTGTTAAGTTGTGCATCCGAATACTCCATTATGAGGATTTATTAAATCCACGACAACTATAGCTACAGAGGCCGTAATATAACTAAAAAATAGCCTTCTAAACTCTAAAACATTATAAAAAGTCCATAGTCTCCGGTGCTTCTCATGGTCGGAAGAAACCTGATTTCTGCTCGCGACCCTAATGGCCAAGGGCTTCTTTATGCCTAGTTTCAAAGTGATTTTTAGAAAAAAAAAGGATTCTCATGAAATTTGATGACGTAGTTTGTGATATTAGTAAATTAGAAAGTTTGTCCGGCACACGTGCGCCAGCTTCACAAGAATAAATCACGATTTCTGAGAACTTGACCACAAGTATATGTCATGTACAAAAGTATAAATAGAGAGTAAAGTTGGTGGTCTACAACATTGACCTTACTCTACAGGATTTCATTTCTATAGTAAGCGTCTGTATCTTGTTCTTTCCGAACTAGACACATTATTCAGACTCGATGAAGAGGCTGATGCTTATGCATGCAATTGGATGCGGATGTTCCCATTCACGTTAGTGTACGGGTTCATCATTGATGATAATCATCATGCAGGGCCTCACTGAGAGTCCACCTTTTTATACATATATAATAAGTTATAAAAACTAAATACAACAGTAGTAAAGAAGTTGAAAGATAGCGGGTGATACATATTTTCTAGTGACCTCGTGACCAAACTGCACGTAATCATCATATTTGCTTGTATTTATTTGCAGTTTGTGTCGCAGTTCACAGCTTAACTGCTCACAAAACAAGGCATACTTTATAAATCAAAGCTGGCAATAAACGTTCGCGAACGACTTCTACAGAAATATAAGTAGCAAACAATGACATTTCCTTGTTGACGATGGAAAAGTACTGTTGTTCTTTGAGGCTTTGTCCGCCGAAACGTAGACATATTCCGCATAGGTGACATATACGGCACATAGGGACCCGGATACTTGTCGAATGCTCTCAATATTGACGTATCGTAACTCACTTTTGTACAATTATACACCGAAGTATACGCGAAAGACATTGCGTGGGTCGTAGCGACTACCAAATAGTATGAGGGAGAAGGCAGCTGGGTTGCTTCGTAGAGTGCAGGTAGCATGATGTATTCACCATGCAAAAGTATGACGGGTTGTCTTGGAGGCGCGGACTGACTGGCTATTACAGCAGTGGAGTTCTACATACATACCTAACCCTAAAACCCAAAAGCGATTCGACGCTCATTTGCGGAACTGTTGTGTGCACACATCCACACCTATGATCAATTGGCTCGAATGTCGATAGCTTCGTAAACACACTCTGTTCCTATGCAGTATATCAGATCTATCATACAGCTCACATTGCGGTGTCCGGAACAAAATGAGACAATTCAGGGTGATCTGCCAAAGGGCAGTGGAGCATATTCAAGTGGAATCACAAAACATGCAATCACCAGATTATTTCGGGCTCCAAACGCCGTGATATAACATGAAGAGATATTATTTTATGGATCTACAAGTGGTGAGGCAGCAATGAAGACAGCGTTGATTTGTTTGTTGATAACCTGTTCACGACAGATGAATAAGCGAGATAATTCAATACACAAGACGAAACTTCGGATACTGATACTCAACTTTGTGGCTCGTTCAACTACAACCATCTAAAAAAATTAAATGCTTAAAATCACATCCATGACTTCTCTCGTTCTGTAAACCCCGATTTCCTCATATGCTGTTGAATTATTCACATTGTCTGGAATTTCGCGCTGTCAACGAGTTCAACATTTGATAAAATAGCTCGTGCCTGTATATATACAGATTCTCGATAAAATACTACCGACACGAATTTGGCCATCGTATGACATAGGATGCATATTCGATGGTCGGTGCCACAAAGTCTAGCAATAGTCGGGAGAATTTCGTCTCATTGTGGTGGTCTGCATTTCCATTTAAAAGTCTATTTAAGTTCCCATTACAATTGTTGCAAATCCGAATTGGTATTCAGATACGGACTACAGCACTTTTATAAGATCTGTCTGATTTTCTTCGCAACAGATCCTTAGGATGACTTCATCTTCTCAGAGGTACCGATAAATTTGTAGTCACAAACATAGATCGATATATTCTGCCCTGGGCATAGTCAAAACACAGACATTCAATTTTTTTTCTTGCCGTCCAATGCTTCAAGTCTGACAGTGTCACATTGAGATTCCTTCAATACAGCACAAGAATGCTCGATTCGACTAATCAGAACTGTATACACGCGTATGTAGTGTTCGACCATTCCGTAGAGGATATCAATCATCTACACATCGCAAATGGCCTTCGCGTTAAATTTTCGGACGCTCTCTATTTACTTTATTCACATCTACGCAATCATTTACCAACTGAATGGATATGCACTCGGTTATCGTCGCCTCCGCAGAGAATCTGTTCTTTAGACGGCCACGCGACGCATAGAACCTTACCCTCGATGGCTGTGAACAGAATTGCGAGAATTGTGAGAATGGATACACCGCCAGTGAAGTTGAGTTGGACATGAACTATTAAATACAAACGTAACTATTAAACACAAACGGATGAATTATGTAAGAGCCAGATGGCCGAATACACAAGATGCACATGGCAAGGGCGAGCATGCGACACTTGAGTGTCATTATTGCGCTCCAGATGAAGAACTACTATACACCAAATCAGAAAACAGATTTAGGTATATGTAGACACCTAACACATATGCACTGATACTTACAGTTCAGCATCTCTTATTTCATGCAACACATACAAAGTGGTATACCTTTAACAGTGTGTAGTGGGATACTCGAGCGCGCGTCCCATATCTTAATATCGCCATCATACGCCGCTGACACAAACTGGTTGCCGTCGGTCGGGCTCCAAGCCACAGACGATGTCATGCCCGTGTGTGATACCAGAGTACGTTTGATCATCGTGGTTGCTGAATGAGAGATTGTGTTCAAACGCTTGGGTTGTGAGTACTTGAGAGGCAATCACACACACACATATATACACATACATATAAATATACATACATACATATACTCATACATATACACACACAAACATGAACATAACTATAACCATAATCACACACAGACAAACACACACACACATATATATATAATTGTAAATACACACACACATATAAACATAGACATATATATATATATATATATACATATACAAACATATATATACATACGCTCACATACACACCCACACACCCACGTAA